AGTACTTTATAAGGAATACTGCTTTGATCGAGATATACCTCTTCCGAAGCAGACCCTTATATAAACTTGTCTCCCAAATTTGAACTGATCTACTCGATCTGTCTCGACTTGAATCTGGAGCTTAGACTATCCCCAAACGTTTGACAGTTAAACCTCGATTTGTCTCGACTTGAATGTGGAGCTTAGACTATCTCCCAAACACATATGATCTCTGATCCAACATAAACTACCACAAACATAACAAACTAACAGAAACACAACAAACTGTCACTCATCACAACAAATTACCACAAACACAACAAACTACTAGGGCTGACAAAATGGCTCGTTGTTCGTGAACAGCTTGTGTTCAGCTCATTAAAAGACTAGTGTTCAGCTCATTCGCTAAGTTAACAATTGGAACACGAAAAAAAAAACAAATATTTGTTTGTTCGTGTTTAGCTCGTTTTGGCTTGAAATACTACAAATCAATTATATACATATCTTTGATGAGTAATATATTTTACAATTTTAGTTGACTACAAGGCTACAAAGATTTACAATCAATTAAAATATTAATTAAGAAAATAAAATAAAAATTCTTAAATTAGATTCAAATGATGTTTTAATATAAATAATAATTTTTAAATCTTGTTCAAACCCTTATCGTCATATGGCTACGTGATTAGGGTTGTTAAAAGGACTCTTTGTTCGTGAACAGCTCTAACGAGCCGAACACGAACATATGTTTTGAGCTCGAAATATAAACGAGCTGAGCATGGTTCGCTCGTCTTCATGTTTTCGTTTTTCTGTTTTTCAGCTCTGTAGTTCAAAGAATTTTGAGCTCGTTGTACTGCCCGAACGGTCGACCATGACACTGGGAGGGATCCCGAGAAAAGGATAATTGCATTTGTGATTCTGTCTTAAGACTTTGAGCCTTTGTAGAAAACAGCGAACGACAAGCTTCAGAAATGATCTCGTTCGTTACCGAGATCAATTCAAGTATGGATTGGGCTATAGTTTTGCATGAGCTGCGAGCAATCTCAATTATTATGGGGTCATCCCCACCCAGATCATGTCGAACTCCAAGGCCACCATCATGACGTACATTATTTTACGCCACAAAAATTTATAACCAATTAAAAATATTAATTAAAAAATAAAATAAAAATATATTAAATTATATTTAAAAGATATTTTAATATAAATAATAAGAATTAAATCTTGCCCCAAACCTCACATCCTAGGTCTGCATGACAAGAATCGTCAAAACAACTCTTTCTTTGCGAACAACTCATTGGCTTAGCGAGTGGAACACGAAAACATATTTTGTGTTCAAAATATAAATAAGTTGAACATGAATAGTGATATTTTTAACGAGCCGAACACAACTTGCTTGTGCTCGACTTTTTTACACCTCTAACGGAGGTAGGTTCAGTGGTCCGAGTGACGGTCCATCGGTGCAACCTTCTGTCGTGACTCGACACCTACCAACTGAACAGACCACACAAGAAATTGTGGTGCTCTGCCGCCACTTGGAGCTCAAGCTGTGAGAGCTATGTCATTGCCCAGGACACAATAAGTTGTGAGCACTCCACCGTCACTGGTGAGTAGAATGTTAATTATATGAATTAGTTGGATCAACTCATTGGTATGAGGAGCCTCGGTCTTGCTTCTTAGGTTGAGATTTTTTTCTCCTTTCTCTCAAGTTGTCTTTTGATACAATCAAGCCAATACGAGTCAATGACTCACCTTCGGCAAATGTTCGTGAGGATCCGACTACGAGTCAGTAGTGGCAGCCCAAACGCCTGTCGGGAGCGAAGATGGCTAGGTTGAAAGTCCAAGATGAGTTGGCTAGGATCCAACGAAATGAGGAGATACACGAGTTACGGGAGGATTCAATTGTCATGCGTCTGGAACTGTCAAACGTTTCGGAGATAGTCTAAGCTCCAGATTCAAGTCGAGACAGATCGAGTAGATCAGTTCAAATTTGGGAGACAAGTTTATATAAGGGTCTGCTTCAGAAGAGGTATATCTCGATCAAAGCAGTATTCCTTATAAAGTACTTCCTCTTGAAATAATTCCCTTGTAATGCTTTTTTCAAAATAAGGTTTGATTTTCTTCTCAAATCTTGTGTTTATTTGATGATTATGTCAGCATGTTTTTTTAAATTATTGTACAATTTTGATGTTGCTGACAGTTAAACCTCGATTTGTCTCGACTTGAATGTGGAGCTTAGACTATCTCCCAAACGCTATGGTTAAACCTCGTTGAGCTTTTTTCATCATTTGCACCTTTGCTTCTTACTCTCATGTTTTCGTTTTTCTAATTTTCAGCTATGTAGTTTAAAGAATTTCGAGCCCGTTGTACTGCCCGAGCGGTCGACCATGACACTGGGAGGGATCCCGAGAAAAGGATAATTGCATTTGTGATCCTGTCTTAAGACTTTGAGCCTTTTGTTAGAAGTGGAGCCCGGTACGACCCTCTTCCACTCCTGCGATCGCGAATCGCGATCTCCCGCTCCCGCCTCCTCCATTTTCGCGAATCGACACCTCTGTCTGCTCCCGCGCACGTGAAGCTTCGCGTCGCTTTGCCCGTTACTCCTTTCTCGCGAAAGGTCGCGACTCCTCCCGCTCCTGCTCGATTGCGAAACCGTTCCCGCTTCCTGTTGGCGATAAAAGGTATTATCGCACGGCTTTCCTTTTGTCTATATAGAGAGAGAAGTCACGGGCAGAGAAAGCATTTTTGCGTTGAAGCAAGAGAAGAAAGAAGAAGATTGGGAAAAAGAAGGTGTTCTTCTTGGTGATTTGGCAAAAGAGAAACAGGTTTTCTCTTGTATATTTTTCTTCTTCTTTGATGTTCTTGCTCTTGGGTGAATCTTCTTGGGTGAATCTTGTCTTGGGTGAATCTTGGTGTAAAGAGAAAGAGCAAATGAGAGATCCTTAATTGTTGTTGTGATCAAACTGGTGTAAATTTCTTCAATTGGAAAAATCCTCTGCAACTCCGTGGATGTATGCAATTTGCCGAACCACGTAAATTTGTGTGTTCTTTTGGTATGAATTTTCTCGTGTTATTTTATTTTCTTCGTCGTCAATCATTTTAAATTTCATATATACCACATCAACTGGTATCAGAGCCAATGGCTACAGACGAAGTGAAGATTTCAGGGATCGAGAAATTTGTTCGCACAAATTTTGGTTATTGGAGAATGCAGATAGAGGACTACCTCTATGGGAAGAAACTCTATCTTCCGTTATTGGGGAAAATACCTGAAAGGATGGATGAGACTGAATGGAATTTGTTGGATCGACAGGTTCTGGGGGTTAACTGACCCTATCGAGGTCCCTGTAGACTAATGATTACTTACCGTCGTCAAGAAGAGGACGACTGCATACTTAAACATTCACAGCGGTAGACTAATGATTATTTACCGTCTTAACATTTCTTGAAAAACCAACACGCACTCAGGTATTTAAAGAGAAATAAGTTGGAAAATAAGCCTCGACCATTTACTTAGAAAATCCTTGAAAAGAGTAAAAACACGGAGCCTAGCCCAATTGAAATAATCAACTATGAATAATGAATACACAGATTCACTCTTGTCTTAAATTAGGAAAGATAAAATTACAAAGTTGTATATCCATAATATGACTGTAATTCTTGGTTGTAACTGGTTGCAAGAGTCATAGTTAATTGTCGCTAAGATAGTAGTCAGTCGTGAGTGTTGTAAACGGTGGATGTAACGCCAACTTATCGTACATGTCGTAGTTGATAATCATGAAAGTAGTTGGTCGAGTGAGACATAGATGATTACTTCAAGAGCATTAGTTGGTCATAGACATTGCAGTAAGAAGTTGTGGGAATTGTGGACCACATAGGTTGTATAGACCATAGTGGTGAGCCGCGATGATGGTCATATGCCACAAGGGCCGGAATCAAGAGTTGCACCAATTGTGGACCGATAAGGTGGTGAATTATAATGGCGTTCGTAGGCCGCTGGAGATGAAGTCGGGTGCGGGTGCTGAGCGAGCGTATGTGAAGTGCGTCGTTGCCCCCATCTTTGAGAAGCGTACGGGGTGCTTTGTTACAACATCTTTGGGTTGTGTTATTGCATTGTATTTGAAGTCAGTCCAGTGTTCGGGATGATGTGTCGCTTCACAGTTTGTTTCGCGACTACGCGAAGCCAGTTGTTGTTTCACAAGATGCTCTGTTGCAAGGAGTGAGTGGCGGTTGATGATGATCGACGGCAACCAACGAGTGGTGGTCAACACTGCAGGAGTGAGAGGCAACTTCAGCTCCTTTTCCAAGCTTCAGTTTTCTTCATACTTCAAGCTCTTTTTCCCCCTATGAGAGGAGTGTGATACTATTTATAGAGTCCAAGTTATAATTAATGAAGGAATATGAACCATTATAATTGGACGACTTGGAGAGGTTCACTCGATAAGAAGACATTCAATGGACATTTGAGTGCTTTAATGATGTCAAAATTGAGCGATCATAATCTCATTCAATTCATTTTGTCGCGAAGCTCGATTCGATCATAAACTCTACAAATTTGACATCTGCGAGACATTCTTAACATGCCCAAAAATCATTCAAAAGTGATTTAATAGCTTGATTAGATTCGAAGTGAATCAATTTTGGTATTCTTGGGTCTGTCTTGTCGAACCAGTCAGTTTAACTATAAATTTGTTGAAATTTGAGTTTTTGAGGGCTTTTAATTAAAGTTTAAATATTTTTTTTGCTCAAAAGATTATCTCAAGATTCGTGTCATGTCTCGAGAATCATGCTGAATGTTGAGATTTTGTTAACGGTCTATCAATTAAAATTTTATTGTTTCTTATAAATATAATAATATTTAAATGCCATTAAAAAACAGTAATAAAAACTAAAATGTTATTTAAAATTATGATATTACGAAATAATTAGAAAAAATCAGATATTAAATATATATGTTTAGGTAAAAAAAAAAAAAATAGGTGGTAACGGTTGGAGTAAATAAAGCAGTATTGCCGCTTAATAAATAAGCTTAGTTCCAACCCCTCTCTTCGAGCCTCATCAAATCGTACCCGAAATCTGAAGCTTTCAGCGGGATCCATGGCGTCCAAGCTCGTCATCATCATCGTCTTGGTCTTCGATCTCATCGCCTTTGGCCTCGCCATTGCCGCCGAGCAACGGCGAAGCAAGGTCACTCTTCCCCCTTGTTTCACCTTCCACTTTCCTATTTTCCACCAGATCTGACCTCTGCTTACACCTTCACAGGCCCAGGTGGTTACCGATTCACAGAAGGATTATACCCACTGCGTCTACGACTCAGACATCGCCACCGGATTCGGCGTCGGCGCTCTTCTCTTCCTTCTCGCGAGCCAGATTGTCATCATGGCAGCCAGCAAATGCTTCTGCTGCGGCCCTGCACTTCGCCCTAGCGGATCACGATCCTGCGCCCTGATACTCTTTCTCATCTCCTGGTTCTAGCATCTCTCCGTTCTCTCAATTGATATTGATTTGTGGAGATTATTCTAGATCTGCGGATCTGATTACTTGGTGGTACTTGGTGGTTGCAGGGTGGCGTTTCTAATCGCGGAGTCTTGTCTTCTAGCGGGGTCTGTGCGCAACGCGTATCATACGAGGTACCGTCGCATCTTCGGAGGAGACGATCCGCCGTCGTGCCAGACGCTGAGAAAGGGGGTTTTCGGTGCCGGCGCTGCATTCATCTTCTTTACAGGTATCCTGACGGAGTTCTACTACGTTTCTTATGCCAAATCGAAAGATGTTGGTCTGCCGCCTTACTGAGTGGCGACCGGCCGTGGCGGTAGGTTTCCGGCAGCTGTTGTCGTCGTCGGCTGTTTTGATTGGGATTGGGTTGGTGTGTCGGTTTTTGTAGAAATTAATTGATTTGGTTCCATCTTATCGTTTTGTGAACTTTTTAATTTTTGCAGCGTTGTGACAGTGATTTTGGAAAAAAATATTAAATCCGGATAAGTATTTTCTCGTGATTTTGAAAGAAACTTCTGAAATGATTTTGCTTGGCATCGGTTAATTCATCGGATTTTTTATTCTTAAGAGTTTTGAGAAATCTGAGAAATAAATTAGTGTTTTTTTTTTATTTGGATAAGACGCTGATTAAGATATAATGAATATAAATTGCATAAAATATAGGGGTGTTTAGATGCATCAAAACACGAGTCATATGTATTAATTGAGTGAGATTTACAAAGAATATTAGAGGTGAGTAGCCAAAATAAATTATTGTCGTGTCCGTTCGCAATAATCAGACCAATGACCTGAAAAAATGAAGATAATAAAACTAGAAAAATTACACGCAGAAAAACACCAGAGCGACACACAAATTTACATGGTTCTATAAATTTGTCTATGTTCACGGAGCTGCCGAGAATTTTATTTCTTCGATGAATTAAACCGTCGAGTCCATCGACGTTTACAGGAAAATCTCTATTTTTTTTTTCTCTTCCTTTCTTTCTCCCTTGAGGACTTGGCTTGGCCTGACTTTATTAGGATAAGTCATAAGAGGCTATTTATAGAAACCAGAAGAACAATAGGTAGAAGGAACATGAGCGATAGGTGAGATGTGGTAGGTGGCAATAAGTAAAAAGGTAGGTGAGCGATAAGTGAAATACTTAATTAAGAAGTTAATTAACAATAGTCAGTTAAATTGCGGTTGATGGGATCTCCACATTACCTAACATGACTGACATCAACGTTAGTTTGTATACAAGTGTCAATATTGGATGTCGAGTAACGAAGACATAGCCATGGAATACTTATGAGTTAATTTTTTCACCAAAATCCTCATTGGATGCCTTAAATGTGTAACAACAATATCTATTTCTAGATTTTTGAAGGGATATTCTATAATTAAAAAAAAAAAATAAAAGACACTCCATTAAATTATCAAGATTGACTGCTTTTGTCACCAAAATCCTCATTGGATGCCTTAAATGTGTAACAACAATATCTATTTCTAGATTTTTGAAGGAATATTCTATAATTAAAAAAAAATATAAGACACTACAATATAAGTAAAAAATAAAAACTCTAAAAAATTAAAATTAAAATGGAAGAATTAGACGAAAAGCATACACATCATGACCTGATGTGATCCCGTACTCATAGAAAAGAGAAGAGGGTTAACCAGATGATTATTGGGTTTGCTATAAAAGTGGAGACAATCATTTCTCAAAGGAAGCCTAATCCGATACCATGCTCCTTCACACGAAGGGAAAGGCACTCAAGTTGATGGTTCCATGCATGTCAATTCTGCTTAGCAATGCAAGTGTGGTGTCAAACTTAGGAATTCTTCTAATGTTAGTTGAATTGCTTCAAAAAGCCTTTTTTCATGTACCTACTCTATAACTTTCCTTTCTTAATTCTCTAACCAATTGTTTTTTTTTATTTCCTACTATTTATTTATATGTACAAACCACCTAAATCTATCTAGAATCATCTTATCTTTAATAAATATCACTCCATTACTTACTCCAATACAATTAATTATTAATTAGTCTTATTTATTTTATTATTCAACAATCTCACATTCTAAATTTTTATAGTAACTTAACATAATTTTTTCAAAACTAAATTTTATTTTAAAATTTAAATAATTTTATACATTAATGACCATTTAGACATGTTTATCATGATTTCATCATCAGTCTCTTTTATTCCTTAAATCACTAGCCCTAATAAGCATATTCTAATTTCCTTCATAAACTGAATCCATCACATGCTGTAAAAGACAGAATATCAGAACTCTCAGGAATGAAAGCCATACCATAAAAAGATAAAGCTGTTACAGTTTCCTTCTGTAGAGTATCTATTTCATTCAGTATCCTATTTTAGTTCATCCATCATCATCTTGTACATGGGATGGAAGCAGGCGTTACAATAGGAGACGCATGAGCATAAAATCTGCAAGGGAAGAGTGGCAAACACTGGAACAAAAAGAACAACCGGATTATTAGGAGAAATCTGGTATGGTGCGTTAGAGGGGATGCTTCATGAAAGGTGAGATCTACAGACATTGAGTTGATTCGTTAGATGGACTATAACACCACTAACATTTTCAAAGCGTAGATGTAGAAGAGAGCATTCGGTCTCTTTAGATGGATAGATTTTCAAATTATTCAAATCGATTGTAACCAAACTCGAAATCTAAAAAAATGAATTGTTGAATCCAAAACTGTCCTATGAGTGCGTAAGGGATAGAGCTTGACAACTGGGGGGAAAAGAAGCACGAAGAGATAGAGAAAGATTTGTCCCGTGGGGGCGAAGAGGGGTGCTCGCGGGCTCTTTGACCCTTTTTTTTTCTTGGAAATAGAGGTTACATGATAGAAGAGGAGAGAGATCTCCCTACATTGGGGGGTTGAGAGAGAGAGCCTAGGGACTCTTTTATTCATGCTAAGAGTCCTTTATTTATAATGAGAAAAAGTAAAATTACATGTGTCGAGGGTATTTTGTCCTTCCGTTGCCCAGATCTGATGTCCTGGAGCCTGTTCGTCTGCAGTGTCCGTCGACGTCGTGTGGCTAACCAAGAGTGGCTGACCAATTGGAGGAGGTGGCCCACCGACTGATGGAGGTGGTGTCCGGTCGGCTGGGGTGGTAGTCGGCCAACTGGGGGTGGCCGAGGTGGCTAGCCGAGTGATCTTCATGTGGCTGGCACATGGTGGTCAGCCAAGGTGGTCGGCAGGCTGGAGGAAGGTGACCGGCCCAATGGGTACACAATTGTTGACGCCTTCGGCGACGGCGGTTGCTTTAGCTCGACGAGATGGCATTTTCTGGCTATATATAAAGCCCCCGAGATTTTTACTTCTTAGAGGCAAAGATGCGATAAAAATGAAAAACTCATAAGTACAAAAAATATTATTTCATGAGCCTCTAGTTGGACTTAATCTTTTAACAGCGTTTTTAATGACTTGATTTTTTTAGAAGATTTATCGGTTAATTTCCAAATTTTTAGATATTGAATTTTATCCAACTCAAGTCTCACTCTTTGCCCATCTCTTTTGCCCTTGTTGGAACATCGCCTCTGAGGAGCCGCACCTTTTATCAGGTCTTAGGCGCATCATATCGCCGCCTTCTCAGGGGTAACCACTGGGACTCGCTAATCGAGAGATTTGCGTTGTGCCCTTCGCGAAGTTTTTCATTATTAGGCTGAGAGCCATTTCGATAGCTTTTTTCTAAGTTGAGTTTCGAGATTGGTTTTGAAGGTTTCCCAAGGTTGAGTATGAGGAGAGATTTTGTTTGCTCATATGGGAAGAGAGGCTTTAAAGAAGAGAGAGAGTTGGTTTGTTCATCCCGGTGGAGAGGCTTTAATGAAAAGAGAACTTGTATCTTTCTCTTCCTATTTTTATTTTTTGTCTTTCTTCTTTCTTTTTTAAAGAAAAGAAAACAAAGTAAAGAAAAAAGATACTTATCTTCTTTATAGTTTTTTGTTTTTATCTTTTATCTTTTTCCTCTTATATTTCTTGATTTTTTGCTTTTTGCAAATCTGCTTTTCTCTTTTTCTTCTTGTTCTTCTTTTCTTTTGTTTCTCTTTATTGTATTTTCCCCCTTTTTGTGTGCTCATCTTCTTGTTGTCGGCACGATTCACATTCACCGTACCTTTTAGGATGTTGAGTCAAAAACTATCCTATGAGTGTCAAATGGATAGAGCTTGGCGACATAGGGAGGAAAAATGGTGGAGAGATAGAAAAAGAGAGCTGAGAGCTTGACAATGAACAATAAACTCGTGTAACATTTATTCATAACATGAGCCCCTATTTATAGGAATGGAGGATGACTAATTACATTCTGAAATCGCTCTCTGCTCTCTTCCTCTATCTCATGTTGTATTCCTTAGATATGTCTCCCAGACAAATTTGGATTCAACACGAACCAATCTAAATTTTGATAAAACCAAACCGACGAAACCGAAATTTAATTCGATTTAAACAACTTCATTATGAAAAAAACCGAAATTTTGTTTCTTAGTTGAAGTCTGATTATGAATAAACATCACAAATTACAAATCTTACATGTATATAATCAATTAAATTTTATAAATCATCCATTTGATTTTGAATTTTTAGTTTTTTGATTTGTTGGTTAAATAAAAATTAAAATCAAACCAATAGTCGAAAACCGAATATTGAGGTTTTAAAAATCAAAAATCAAAATTCACTTTTGAAACTCAAACAAATCTAAACAAAGTTAAATGGATTGTGACACCAATAACATTTTTAGCATGAGAATAAACCAAAATGATGCGCTCAATAATAATAGCGTGGACAAAATAAATACTTTAGAAATGAAACAAAAAATACGTCTGTATGGATAAAGGATGAAGAGCATCAACTAAAGCACTAGAGAACAGACGATCAATTTGGTAACAGGCTAAGCAAATGGCATCTACTCATCCATCGTGGAACATTAAGGTACAGCAAGCAATCACCTGATGATCAACATATAAAACCATTTCTAGCACCAAAAAATGAAATAGAGTATGCAAATATTCAAGTGCATTATGCCACAAGGAATTATAATTGAAGTAAAAAAATTTAACTTCTATTTCTTAGTTAGATTTCTTTTAATATAGAGAAAAATCTATGACTAAAAATTCAACAGATAAACTCAAATATCCCTGGAATGTGAATTGATAAAAGAAATAAAAAATTATAATCCAAATGAGTAACACGAGATTTAATCCCTAGATATCTCAACGAACCAATTCAAAAGATTAGTGTTTCAAGAAGATGTAGACACAAACGAGGAGATCTAATGGTGTATATTGTTTATTGTTGGGTAATGTGGAGACCCGGTCCACCGAATTTAATTAGCCTTTTAATTAAGTATCTCACCTACCGCTCACCTACCACATCCCACCTACCGCTCACCTACCTTCCACCTACCGCTCTCATGATTTCTATAAATAGTCTCTTTTGGTTTAACGGAAAGTCAAGCCTCAAGCTAAGCAAAGCCAAGCCAAATCATCTTGAGA